ATTGACAACAAAAACTGGAGAAAAAAAACAACAAACAGAAAACTGATATATATATGTTTATTTTCTAAAAAATATTCTACAATTAATTGAAAATAAAATACCTTTGGATATTTTATTAATGCAAGCCTATGAATATCAAATTTATATGTCAACTTCATTGTCAACTTCATTGACAATTTGCATTCTAAGTCTAAGGAATATGCGTTATACCAAATCCACCACCACATAGACTTTCAAAGAACCAACTCGATTTAATAAACAAGATATTAGTAAAGAAAATAAAAGTATCAATAAGCAGTTTACACAATGTCCTCTCCTAGTAACATTGTCTTGTCAAACTTAATGTGCACCATATTCACTGCCTTTTGAAGCAAGTGACAAAATAAAAATGGTAAAATGACACACACAACCCTCTCCGACCTACAGGTTTCATCTCATTTAGGGAATTTGAAAATACCTTCAACCTGAATACAAAGCATGAAACGAGTCAGCATAAAAATATCACTTTTCGAAAATATCGTTACGGTTTTTGATGTTCCTGAATGAATTGGAAAGAAGAAGAAGAAGAAGAAGAAGAAGAAGAAGAAGAAGAAGAAGAAGAAGAAGAAGAAGAAGAAGAAGAAGAAGAAGAAGAAGAAGAAGAAGAAGAAGAAGAAGAAGAAGAAGAAGAAGAAGAAGAAGAAGAAGAAGAAGAAGAAGAAGAAGAAGAAGAAGAAGAAGAAGAAGAAGAAGAAGAAGAAGAAGAAGAAGAAGAAGAAGAAGAAGAAGAAGAAGAAGAAGAAGAAGAAGAAGAAGAAGAAGAAGAAGAAGAAGAAGAAGAAGAAGAAGAAGAAGGAGAAGAAAATTAGGAAGAAAAATAAGGAAGAAGAATAAGAAGATAATAAAGAAGAAGATACTGAACAATAAGAAGATAGTAAAGAAGAAGATAATAAAGAAAAAGATGATGATGAAGAAGAAGATGAAGAAGAAGAAGAAGAAGAAGAAGAAGAAGAATTAAGAAGAAGAAGAAGAAGGAGAAGATAGTAAGGAAAAGGATAAGAAGATAATAAAGAAGATAATGAACAATAAGAAGATAGTAAAGAAGAAGAAGATGTAAAAAAAAAAGAAGAGAATATGCAGATGGAGAAGAAGAAGAAGATAATAAAGAAGAAGAAGAAGATGATGAAGAAAAAAGAGAATATGCAGAAGATGAAGAAGAAGAAGAAGAAGAAGAAGAAGAAAAAGAAGATGATAAAGAAGAACATGTTAAAGAAGAAGGAGAAGAAGAAGGAGAAGATAATGATGAAGAAAGAAGAGGAGAAGATGCAGAAGGAGAACATAAGCTATAATCTCACATATACATGAATATCTAAACAAAAATCAATTGAATATAGGAGATTAGTTTTTTAATGCTGTTAAATCACAAATCGCACATTATGTCATTATTATTACAATAGAAATAATATCATTTACCAAAAGAATTCTCAAGAGTATATAGATGCATGTAAGTGCCCCAAGTGATGCAAAATCAGAATGGGGACATCAGATATATATGTACTCCTCATCTTTATATAGGCACAGAGAAAATCAGATACAGCCGACTGTCACTATGGTTGACTCTATGCTGCAAAATATCGGTTCTTGATAACATGATCACTAGAACTGGGCGTATGTACGGGCAAATGGAATGGATGGACAGACAACCCCAAAACATAATGCCTCTGGCTACTTCTTTGCGGAGGCATAACAAGAGAATCTACAATAGGAAAGGATTAAATAGTGCAATTTAAAATCGTTCTTATTTGCCTAAAAACACTCTGCTCTGGAAAGTCTTTAAAAAATGAAATGCTTTGTTAAAATCTGTTAAAATATTTCAATATATATATATATATATATATATATATAAATAAATATATAAATGATAATAAACAATCCTAAAAACATATAGAAGTATATTAAAAACACTGCTGTTATATTCACGGAATGTCAATAAGTATCAAAATATACAGGCCACCATGTACATGGAGTGGCAAATAAGATAATTGTCCCCTAAACCATAGAAAGAGAAGAAGACAAAGATTCTGTCATTCTTGAAGAATTCTTCCATTTACGTCAAATCGTGTAAAAAATGCCAAAAATGTGAGGTATTACATATTCAGTTATATCATTTGAATTAGCTTATCATCAATTTACTACACCAGCAATCTGTTGATCTGTTTTGAAAACATATATCAAATTATATCCTGCATCAAAAAATTGTTGGCTTTTGATTGCTTGAGAGCTCGTCACATGACAAAAAATATTTGAGCTATTTTTAGAAAGTATAAGAGTACTATTTTGGTTTACTATTTGGGAGTTGAAAAAAAAATGTGAATTTTTTTTGTGAATTAAATCAATTTTTGATGCAGGATATAAAACAAATATACCTTGCCTTCTATTCGAGGTACTGGTTAACCTGTGGACCTCGGTGACTCCAAAAGCACCATTTGCTTCGGGGCTGCGCCCCTCAGCAGATAGTACTATTGGAGTCACCTCTTGCGCATAGTTTTAACCAGAACCTCTCAAGGCAGTGTATATTTGTATACTATATCACCTTCCTTCATGAATTATGGCTGCAAGTCTACTTTACTGTAAGTACAAGAATGTGAATATAGTATGTATTCATAAATAGTAATATTATTTATTGATCAAAATGTCATATAAATGAAGTAGAGATATATAGATAAAAGGTGGTGCCCTGATGAATACTTTGCAATAATGTTGTATTCTAAAAACTCTGTAATTTTTACACAAGGGGAAATGAAAATATTCATATCTAACTGAAGTTATGAAAAGTCTGTTCTTAATTTCCGCGCAAAGATAGCGGTGTTCGAGTATAGCCTAAAGTAAATGGAAATTGACCTGAGCATCAATAATAAGTATCTAAATCTCCATAATTTCAATGATATGACAATTAAAAAAAAATTCACTAGCAGAAAATGTACACAATTTTGGCGAAAAAGGACCCAGATTTCCCGGCGAGGTTTATATGAATGCTATTTTATAACGTAGGAAAAAATGATAGAATAAGAAACAGAAAGGGGGCCCATACATTTGCTCCTGCTCCAGGATTTATTTTGCCAATGATATAGGGTTATGTTGAGGGTTGCAAATGGGTTTTAAGTTAGGTTTAGGGTTAGGGTTATTGTTCAGATAATAAAGTATAGTAATATGTCAAGGGCTGAAATTAAGAATTCAGTTAGTGTAGGGAATTGTTTGTAATGTAATTGTCACTGGAGTATGTTTCGTAAAACCGTGGAAAGAGGTAGTCAGTAATGATGATAACTCTATACTTCCATATAATAGTACTATAACAGTAATGAGTTTGATTACCTAAAGAAGCCTCATACGTAGCAATGCTGTTATTCCAGAGGGCCCTGTAATTATTGCTTCAGCAATTGCCAGGTACCTTTTGTACACATAGATGGGGACTCTGGAGAGTGGAATTTGATGATTAATGTTTTACCAGACACTTAAAAGGGATATACGTCTCATTACAATGTTGGTTTTAATAAAAGCAGAAAAATAGAAAACCATATCAGTAAAATGAGGGTTCGTATGCTAGGGCTGCAAATAAAACACATGCTCACTCTAAAATTAAGGAGGAGATGACATCAATGTGTGTATGTGTGTGTGTATGTGTGTGTGTGTGTGTGTATGTTTGCTATAAATGGCTATACACTTGATTTTACATGGTTTACAGAATTTCTACATCTAAATCTTCCTATCTCAAATACCCAATTATAAACCAGAACAAGAGCTTTTTTAAGGGTTAAATTGATCAGCTTTCTTCTTTTAATTGGAAACATAATTGTTCTTCTTATTTTCACATTTTTCTACTACATGTATTAATTCTATTTATTCTACTCCTACTCTGCTCTTGTATCTGAAGTAAATATACATGGATAGAAAACATGTCAAAAGTAATTTTACACACACACACAACAACAACAACAAAAATTATGGGGAAATCAATAATACTGAACTCTTCATTATGTTGCCAATGTAAAGATTTTGATTCTCATTTACCATTCTAAAATCCCTGGCACTATCAAATGCCATAGGATAACACAACAGAAATGGATAAAGGTGTGTACAGAAATCAGTGTTATTTGTGCTCTTGTATCTTAATACATTTATGTAGGGCTATGAATCAAATGTTATGATGCCAAACTGCATATAAGGACAATTCCTGATCAGGCACACTCAATTTACACTGCTTCATCCATCAAAAGTTATGATGCCAAACTGCATATAAGGACAATACCTGATCAGGCCCACTCAATCTACACTGCTTCATCCCTCAAAAGTTATGATGCCAAACTGCATATAAAGACAATTCCTGATCAGGCACACTCAATTTACACTGCTTCATCCCTTATCTTGCTGTAGATATTCAATGAATATGTATTTATATTTAGTTTTGCTTTGATTTAAAGAAAAAAGGCACTCAATCATGATGAAGATACATGAAATTATCATACAGGTAGAAATAGGTCTTCAATCTACACAAGTTTCCTTTCTTTCTCATTCCAAAATCCCTCAAACAGGCTGGCTTAAAATCCGTTCAATCCATTGCCCCACAGCAAATTAGCTGCATTTTTATGAAATAGTACTTCACTTAACTTCTTCAAGAAACATCTGCAAACATACCTCTACAAGGCTTCTTAATACGATCATAGACTAACAGACAGGACCTTGTATCCTCTGGGGGGTGTTTCATAAAGCTGTTTGTAAAGTTATGCATGACTTTTCGAATGACTTAAATATGAAAAGCCAAATGGGATGCTCAATCATTTTTAACTGCATTAACTAAAGTTGAACTGTGCAGATGTAGATTAACATTCTTATTATAACAAACATTTTTATGCAAAGTATATTTTTTGCCAAAATTTAGTTGAGGTTATTGGAAATATAGTCACATCCTGTTAAAACATCAGGAAAAACTTTGGGCATCCTATCTTGCACTTCATATTCAAGTC